TCAGCAAATTGCCCCCACAGTCTGGGTCCTCATTTCACCCATTTCGAAAGGATGGAAGGCTGAGTCAACCTTGAGCCGGTGAGATTTGAACCGCTGAACTGCAGATAACAGTCAGCTGAAGTGGCCTGCAGTACTGCACCCTAACCACTGCGCCACCTCAGCTCTTATAGGCTACACAGTCAATTATTTAGATATGATTTTGCACATTGTTTTTAATTTCCCTTCAGGTACTTTGAGATATGCATAAAATTACACTGCAAATTTATTCCATACCTAAATTAGAGTGACTAATTAATCATTCTGAATACGTAGGATGTATTATTAAAGGCAGCCAAGCGCTAAAGATAAGTAATGAAATGGTATATAGTTATTCAACTTTCATTTCTTCACTTAATTGCCACATAATTTCACAATAGTTTTGTCTCTATGGTGCACCCCAGTATGTTAAATTGTAACATTCAATGTCCTCAATCAATAGCAGTCCAAGGCTGGGGATGATGGCAGTCATAGCCAAACCACCAAGATTTTGCCATATAGGGGAAGAATAGTCTACAACTAAAGGACACACACTCTAAAAAAGTGTCCATCTGTATAAGGGAACATCAAGTCTTAGAATGAGTGGTGCTATCTCACCTATTGAAGAATTAAAAAGAAGTAAAACTTCTGGTTTTGCTTGCTTTATTTATTACTTTTTACCTCTCCATTTTCCTTGGTGAGTTCAAGGCAGTGGTGAAATTCAATTTTTTTTTTACTATCGCTTCTGTGAGTGTGGCTTCGTGGGTATGGTGTGGTTTGGTGGCGTGGCAGGGGAAGGATACTGCAAAATCTCCATTCCCTCCCCACTCCTGGGGGAAAGGACATTGCAAAAAATCCATTCCCTCCCCACTCCTGGGAGAAGGATATTGCAAAATCTCCATTCCTGAGATGGCATTTGCAGGTTCTCCGAACTACACAAAATTTCCACTAGCGGTTCTCCAGAACCTGTCAGAACCTGCTGGATTTCACCCCTGGTTCAAGGCACATGGGAAATATCTCTCATTTTATCCGAAGCAATTAGTCTGTAAGGTAGGTTGCACTGACAGGAAAGTGATTGCCCCTTATCCACTTTATGGATAAGGTAGGTTTCAACAAAGAAACCTCCTATCTCCATGGCCCAAGCCTAACACCAAAACAAGTATATTACATTGGTTCTGGAGATTTACCTTTGAAGGTGTTAATAATGCTGTCTGAAGCCTACAGTGATGTGCAAGAGACCGATAGAAGTACTTCTGGCATCCATCCCAGGACAAAGAGATTTGAGAGATTAACCTGAAAAGCAAAACAGTTTGAATCCCTTAAGATAGAGGTATCCAAAGTTTAGTTGAAGCCCACATGGGGTTGTAGAAAACTTACGTAGAGTCACAACTTTTTTACGTGACCCGTCAAAACCGCGGTCCACAAAAGCGCGCTCGACGAAAGCGCNGAATTCTCCAGCCAGCAGAGCAGAGCTGGCTGGAGAATTCTGGGAGTTGAAGTCCACAAGTCTTAAAGTTGCCAAGTTTGGGAACCACTGCTTTACAAATACAACACGACCTTGGGTATGGCCTTTGTTGCTTTATTCCAAACTAGACCAATCATTCCTGGCAGAAGCAGTTTGATGGTGGTTGGTATGGCAAAAAGCCAAGGAGGTCAATTGCAGTGACTAAGGAGAAGCAGGTCAGATATTGGCGTATACCATACTGGAAGACTGGTCCTGCCAAAACCATTATCATAAAGAATAAATGCCTAGGCCAGGATATCGGTAGTAGCAGGGGCTGAGGAAAGGGATGGCACTGGGAAGATTAAGGGGACAGTAAGCCGTATGAAATGCCAGGCTGGGGCAGCAATTGCAGAAGTGATTGAGGAAAAGGAAGGGCTGAGGGAAGTGCTTGGAGGATTGGGGAAGTGTGTGCTATTTGAGATATGGTGTGCTGGGATACCTCTGACGTTAGTGGCCTTGCCTTAATTACCTCAGAAAATTGCTCTGTTGTTGTTTTGGATGTTGTAATACCAAAAATTTGGGACCAACTCAGAGCTTCCAAATTTTGTTTCTGCTGAACTTTTGACATGTTTTCCATTTTGTGGACATCCTTATGCAATGCTGTTTGTTCACCATCAAAAAGTATAAGCACTTTTTCATCTTTCCCATAAATACTAAAACCCTAGCATTCATTTGCTTTGTATAGATTATAAACAGACACATCAAACCTTACCTGGTCTTCATTTTCTATCTTGTCACTAACATCTTTTTTGCCTTCCCCTTCTCCAATGCCCCCATCTTCATAATCATGGAATTCTGTTCCTCCTTGTCCCCCATCCTCAATGATTTCTTTTGGTAAACAGAAACCCTAATAATAAAAAAAACACTCAGCTGAACCAAGGATAGCAGTCATTAAAATGAACACTGAGTCCCACCATTTTAAGTTTTCTTTTGTTTGGGGGCAAAGTTTTTGTAAGCTTTCTCCCAAGGACAGGAAAATCTACTTCAGCAAAAATCCACTAAGGGTCAGTTACTTATTAACATGTAAATAGTCTTTTTTATTCATATCAGAATCAGATTGCCAAAAGAAAGCCAAAATGATATCATTTTTTCCCCAAAAAGTAGGCAGTTGACTTAATATTCCAGAAAAAAAATATTACAAAGTAAAAATCTTTTTTTGGGTGGTGGGGAATAAAAGGCAAGTAATACAGGTAAGTTCTCACAATGACATTTACTTTCTACTTCTTACCTTCTGTGCAATTTCCGTAAATATGTTTGTCAAGACAAAAAGCAATTTTGCAGTGCTCCTATGTGTGGCCAAGGAAACCGTGAGATAGAAAAGGACAATATTCGAATATTTGCAAAGAATTGGCATTAGCCGTACCAGCAAATGGCAGGCCTGATTAAAAAGCTGAAGAAATAAAAGAAAAATAATGTCAATTAATTATGGAATAATTATATTAAGCATTTACATATTAGTTAGTTTCACTGTCTGTAATATTTTTTAGCAATTTCAGAAAAATATTTTTTATTCTTACATGCTACTATTTGAGGCAAGATGAAGAAACTAGTTTAACATTATGTTTAACATCTTTCCCACGAGATATATTTCAGCCGAAAAATATCACCTTGCATTTGTATGCAGTGTAATCCTCGCCATAAGTTTTCAATTCCACCAAGAGTTCAGAAATGACTGAAATTATTTTTTGTATATGCAGAGAATTCACATCGGAACAAATTTCTTCATCTAAGAGTTTAGTTAAATGCCCTGTCTGTAGTCCATCAACTGAAGATTCTTCCCCTGGAATAACAAATATAAAAAGCAATTATCAAAAACGCATTCCAATTGAGCTCATGAATATGTCCTATATATTGTCGGTTCTCATTTTTTAAAATTATTGTGTATACAGCAAGAAAAATGCATTTGACATAACAGTTGCTTTCAAAACAAAACAAGTGAAAGAATGTTCAGTCTTACCATCTTCCTTTGGGAATATCTCCTCGTTGTCTTTTCTTCTTTCAACCAAACACTGGACAGAACTCAAGACAACGTGGATTGCAAGTTCTATTTCTTCCGAGAAGTGTTCTACAAATCCATCATTGGATGTTTCGTTGTCTATAGAAATGTCATTGAAAAATTAAATGGGGAAGATTTTTAGTTTTACAACGAAGAGATGGATGGATAAATGTGTGCACGATGCTTGATTCCATAGTGTCTAGCTATCTACTTACTTAAATAAATGCTACTGCCCTAATTTTCTCCTTATTTGAGGATCTGAAGTATCAAAATTCCCCCTCCATTAAAATTGGGATCGATACTATTGTACATTATAGAGAAAGTTGTTGTTCGTTCTTCAGAATTAAATCAGAGATTCCCTTTCAGGGATGTAATACAGGAGTGACTGGTAGCAAAGTCAACAATTTCATTATTTCAAATAAAATTTCTGCACATAGAGGTAGTCCTCAACTTACTTCAGCCCAAAATTTCTACTGTTACGTGAGACATTCGTTAAGTGAGCTCTGCCCCATTTTACGACCTTTTCTGCCTCAGTTGTTAAGGGAATCATTGTAGTTGATAAGTTAGTAATTTAGGTCCTAAGTGAATCTGGCTTCCCCATTGACTTGGTTTGTTGGAAGGTCGCAAAAGGAGATCACATGGCTTTGGGACACAGCAGCAGCGTCATAAATATGAACCAGTTGCCAAGCATCTCACATGATCATGGGAATGTGGCAAAGGTCACAACAGTAAATAACTGTCATAAGTCCCTCCCCCCCCAGTGCTGTTGTAACTTTAAACAGTCACTAAATGAACTGTTGTAAGTTGGGGATCACCTGTAGTTGAAAGTTTAATCACTTACAAACTACATAGCCTTCCCTTCAGTCTCACAGTAAGTTAAAAGTAGCCAGAGGGGGGCAAACAGTGAGGCACTTTCCATAAGCCCTAAATCTTATTCAAACAATTCTAGTATAACCTCTCCCAGGATGGTAAAATCCATTTAGCCCCAGTGCAGGGGTGGGTTTCTTGCCCCGTTCCAACCAGTTCGGTTGGAACGGGGCA